AACACCCCTGGGAAGTTTTTTTCCCCTAAAGGGTTAGGGGTGTGAGGGTCTTGTAACTTGACAGCTTTAAGACTTGTGGACTTCAACTCCCAGAATTCCTCCTCTCGCTCTTCATCTTGATGATGTGCAGACGGGTGGGGGGGACGGAGCTGGAACCGGTTCTAAACGGCACTGTAGATTTGTGGAGCCTCTTCTATAGAAGAGGTTAGAACTGGCAGGAACCCACCCCTGGACCATACTCAAACTATCCTACTCTGGATACATCACGTAAAGAGCTACAGAATCTACAATACCAGAAAAAGTAAAAGGAAAGAGTGGGAGAGGGGAAGAGGACCACCAGAATAAAGTGGGTGGATTCAATTACAACAGCAATGGATGCCTGGTTGGAAAAATGAATTCCTGTAAGAAGAGATCTGGTTGGTTAGTTGCTCCAGTGATGGGTCCAGAAGGGGAAACACTCCCTCTGAAAAGCAGCTCCATGATTTGGGGATAGTGTTACAGTGATGACTACTACTATAACTCTGATCTGAAGGAAAATGCCGGAGAAAGAACATTGTGGAGAAAATCTATCTGTATGGTCATTAAGAATCGACACTGATTTGGTAGCAAACAGCCAGTCAATCAATCATTATAAGACTAGAACTGTCTCCTGATCATAACCACAAAATGTCATTTAGAACAATTCTAAATGCTTGGTTATGCAAGCTATATCTAGGCTGCAAAACTCCAGCTGACCAAAAGTAGCAGCAACCACTTGGTAAAGTAAAATCTTCCATAATGCAAGTTTCACTTCTATACTTTTCTCGGGAGCCATTTCAAAATAATTGTTCACTACCTTGTCCTGGGTTTTTGTTGTTGTTGTTGTCATTTCCTAGGCTAACCAGCAATCCCATTTCCCAATGATGTCAAATCAAAACCATGCCCTGATATAACCCAGTTTAGTTTCTGAGCCAATTCAAGGATAGGCAGGTGCTGCTACCGGCTGAGATTAGGTATAATAAGCCTCAGAAAATGGAATCAAACCTGCTGATTGCCACCTTTTGGGATAATTATTGCATTTTCTGGCTCTTAAGTTTTCAAGCTCTTACAAACTTGAGGATGGAGGTAGTGAAAAACATCAAATCTGCTGTTCCAGATTATTCTCTCTTATCACAAGTGCTCAAAAGCATTTCTATATAGATGCACAAGTATACATATGTATAAAGAAACTCATTCTGTCTACTTGCTCACAATCCAGTAGTGATATGCCTTTTAAGTATGACAACATATACATCCCATACAAATAATGGCAAAAACAACAGCTCTGAGTCAGATCCTCCCTCGTGTAGGATAACATGTTCTCAACTTACTATAGACACTTGCAGCCAATGAAAAATAAGATCACACTTGGAATATTACATCCAGTTTGCTCGCCACAATATAAAAACAGATGATGATGTTCTGGAAAGAGTACAAAGAACAGCAATGAAGATGATTAGGAGACTGGAGGCTGATCTTGGAGCCCTAGTGGACAATCACTTAAATATGATCCATCAGTGTGCTGCAGTTGCCAAAAAAGCCAACATAGTCCTAGACTGCATTAATAGAGGGGTAAAATCAAGATCACCTGAAGTATTAATACCCCTTTATAGTGACTTGATAAGCTCACACTTGGAATATTGCATCCAGTTTTGGCCACCACAGTATTAAAAAGACATTGGGACTTTAGAAAGAGTGCAGAGAAGAGTAACAAGAATGATTAGGGGACTGGAGGCTAAAACATGAAGAATGGTCGCAGGAATTGTGTATGTCTAGTTTAATGAAAAGAAGGACTAGGGGTGATATGATAGCAGTTTTCCAAATATCTGTCACAAAGAAAAGGGGATTCAACTTATTCCCCAAAGCACTTGAAAGCAGGTCAAAAAGCAATGGATGGAAACTAGTCAAGGAGAGAACCAACCTAGAACTTAAGGAGAAATTTTCTGACAACTACAACAATTAATCAATGGAGTGACTTGCCTCCAGAAGTTGTGGGTGCTCCAACACTGGAGGTTTTAAGAAAAGATTGGACATCAATTTCACTAAAACGTTATAAGGTTTCCTGCTTAAGTGGGGTGTTGGACTAGAAGATCTGCAAGGTGCCTTCCAATTCTGTTATTTTCCAAAATCACCTAAAAGCTATAAAATCAAGCAATTAAAATGTTTAGCATTTGTTCCTAAGGGGCTTTATCCTTTGTATGTATTGTTGCTAAAAAAAAACAGCACCAAATTTGATGTCTTCCATCCTCAAACTCAGTAAAAGCTTGAAATTTTGGAGCTAAAAAATCATGCAATTATTATTTCAAGAGAATACAATCAGTAGACTTGATTGGGTTCGTACATTAAGTCATGGTCTGTTTTAGCTGTGATTTATTGAACAACCTACGTCAGTTGAGTTCATATAATATGCTAAGCTATAAAAGTAATTTAAATGTTTCAATTCACATAAAATTGAAAAATTAAAATTATATCAAGCACAATTACTGTATGCATAAGTTTGGCTTATAAATATTGACTGTCATTTTTTTGCCATTTTCTATACTGGAGATTTTAATCCTATCATTCTGGGTTTTTTGGGGGTGTGTGGGGGAGAAGCAGGAATCTGGTAGCACTTTTACCACCTAAAATGTTTTATTAAAAGTTGAAATTAAAACTGACTTCATCAGATGCAACTCATGAAAGTTATGCTTTTTATTACAATTTGTTAGTCATAAAAGATGCTACCAAACTCCTGATTTTCTGCCACTGTATATTATAATGAATCTCTTTCTAGGCTGTCATTGGGATGGACCAGTTTTTCAAAGAGCTGAGTCCTTGTCATTTTGCCCATTTCCCATCTCAGCAAAACTGGGTGTGGAAAAGAACTGGAGGGGCCAGGGACAGCCACAAAGCTTAATCCAAAAGGATTTGAGAGATGAAGCCTGGCTGATGTATGAATTGTCCTTTTTTTAATCCTGGGATCTTTTAGGCTAAGTAGCATGATCCACTACAATCAATGAGGGAAAAAATTGTGCAGCACACAGCAACAAGAGGAATAAAGTGAGGTCTGCTAAAATGTCCCAGGAAAGAGTCTCTATGGTGTTTTTAGTAGCACCCTTGTTTTTCCTCACTCCAAAGAGGATTGCTGTAAATTTAACCAGTCGCCATCATTAAAAATGATCACCAAGTGTCCCTGAGAGCAAAAAGCTCCCTCCCCTTTCTCCTTGTGCAACTGCAATAAAGCTGGACATCGATTTTGTCCTACCATACAGGGAAGAAGCAGCTGGCTAAGTGGATTATTGCCATTTAGATGCAGAATCTGTTCCAAAGGTTCCCCTTCCCAGAAGCTGTTAAGAGAACAGCCGCTGTCTCTGCATCAGAAACTGGCTCCCCTGTCAACATATATTAAAATTAGCACAAAAATTCTAGACAAGAACCGAAACTCTTGGGAGGAATTTGGAAAGTGCTCACCCTGCCTTTGTTTTCCATTGTAATAGCAATCTGCATTCTTCCTCTACAGAAAGCAAGCCGCTTATCCCTCTCTTCTTCGCTGATATCTGGGTCCTCTGCTGGATTCCCAGGATCCTCAGATCCCCATTTTTCTCGGACAACCCGCTTTCCCTGCAAAGGGACGAATGAGAATTACATATTCTTCCCGACAGACAAATCCACATCCCATTTCGCATCCCTTGTAATCCATGTGAAGTGTGGTGGCTTAGAAAATGAGCTTAACTTTGGTGCCAAGCATAAGTAGAAGTGTCACACTTCCTTTCTGCTTGGAGAGGTTCTGATTGAAAGCTCAGGCACAATTAACCAGGAGGGGGAAAAATCCCTGATAAACTCAAATTGTTTATCTATCAATCTACAACAAACACGTGGTAGTATTAGGACACTGTCATTTTGAGGTTTGACCTTTTATTAAGAATACCTTGTTTTGGGTTGCTGCCTATCAACAATAAATTGTCATCTACTTTGTTTTACGAAAATTCTGAGGTTTTTGAACTTCTGATGGGTGCCAAAGAATAGCTTAGGAAAATGGATATGAGGCTGAGAAATAAAATAGAATGCTAAAGCCATGAATCTGATTTCTGTATCACAGTTTACCACAACTAATTCTCCACAGAAATCTATTCTCTCTAATCAGTCTGATTACTGGGGCAGATCTTCCATGTTTGCTGTTAAGTCAACAAGCTAGAAACTGTTTTTGATCTCACAAATGAAGTTAAATATACATGTCCCAGGATAATGTTGCAGGATTTAATCTGAGTGGTCATCAGGACAAGAGGTTTAATCTTCCGAGCTTTCGGACTCCTGCTGGAGCCCATCCTGAGGGAACTTCTGTCTCATCAGAATGTGTGAGAGAAGTTTTCATTCAGGTGAGAGAGAAGTTCCCTGAAGATGGGCTCCAGTAGGAGTCCAAAGCTTCGGAAGACTAAACCTCTGGTCCCGGTGACCTACCCAAATTGGATCCTTTTTGTTCTAATGAAAAAAATCTACTAATATATTCTAATCTATAGCATACCTTCCTCCACTGAATAAGTGGAACACTCTCAGATAAAGATCACCACCAATAGGTTATTATCAAATATAATTATAGTATTCCTAATAAATATATAGATTCTATTAAAAAGCATTTGAATAAATGGTGTTACACATTATGACTCAATTTCATTGTTATAAAATGTGTTGGGTCATGTTCTAACTTGTGTTGGGAAATCAGTTTTAAAACTTTTTGAAATAAGAAGCTTGGGTGAATCTTAGCAGAAACGCTGAAAAACTAAATGAAAGTATACAGAAGGATGCTAAATCTGCTTTCATATCAAACTCATTGGAGGTCTTTAGATGTAGAAAGTAAGGATTACCTTGACAGAAATACTGTATGCAAGAAACATTACCTAAACTGAATCATTTTTAGGTTAGAACAATAAGATAACATTTGGAAGCACCTCAGATAGGCCCCCTCCTTAATTCATTGGAGCAAAACAAGGGAGAAGAGGTACAGTCAATCAAACTTGCAAGATTCTGTTATTGTAACTAATCTCAGTAAAAGTAGTCTTAGCCTTCTTGTCAAATTGATTTCTATGTCTGGTTTACCTGGAGGCTGACACTGGGTAATATATTTCCACAGTAATCCTGTGCATATTTCCTTAGAAGCAGAATATTTCCAAGTACAGCAGAATGTACTTCCAGAAAGCTAAATTGCCTATAATTTAGATTTATAAAGATCACTTAGAGTCTCTGCTGGCCTGGGTAAATTATTTTAAATATAATAAATAAAAATGATTTTGTGCTACCCTGTTTCTCCAAGAATAAGACCTCCCCAGATAAGCCCAATCAGGCTTTTGAGCCCATGTGCTAAAATAAGCCCTCCCCCCCAAATAAGCTCTCCCTGAAAATATTGCAACATAGCAGCAGCCGCGAGGTGACCATGCTCGCTGCCTCCTGCACCTCAAAAATAATATGTCCCCAAAAATAAGACCAAGCCCTTATTTCAGGGGTCAAAAGAAAACAAGACCCTGTCTTATTTTGGGGGAAACACAGGTATGTATTATTAATCCTTGGATATGAGCAATATAAAAATACTACGACTGCTTTTACTTGGTGCCTTCGAGATAGTTGAAGATTGGCAAGATTTTGAAAGTAGTTTGACATTACCTGTTTCCTAGGACTGAGAGAGACACATTGAATGGCACAAGGTTACCACCTGGTTTTGTGCTAAGGCAGGACTAGAATTGGTTTAGTCTGACTCTCTACTACAAGTGCTAGAACCTTATTATCTGTTGTGGTATAATGGAATTTACAAGGAGTCTCCCTTCATTTTATCCCAAGTAAAGGATGTTGAGCAGAGAAATAATGGCAGGTTAAAAGTCACCCAATAAGTTCCATAGTTGGAGAGGACTTGAATATGGTCTTCTTGATGTAGTCCTCCTTCTTAACCACTATTGTTTAAACAAGGTATAATGTATTAATCAAAGGTCATGGAGAGCCTTTTTTCTAGGTTTGATGAGATTTGCAGTTATATTCCCATGTGATCCACAGTGGCCAGAACCATGTCTTTCCCCCCTCAATCCTGATCACCATACAATGTGCTGCCAAGAACTGGCCAAATAGAGACATGACCTGGGAGGTGGATATGAATGACATGATCTGGGGACCAAGTAGATAAAAAAGTATGTATTCCAGTATGCCTTTAGCACTGATTTAGCTAGTGGATAAGCAACGTGTTTAGGAATCATGTTGGTTGATTATTATTTTCAATTTTTTATTGCATAATTCACAGAGTCACAAGCACCGTAATAAATAAATAAACTTGAAGAGCTAATTAATCTAGAACGATACAGTATATCTATGAATGGAAATTAATTCCTAGGTGATAGTTACTAAAGAAAAGCTAAAGTATTTATAGCATAATCTAATGTGTTAATATATCTATTCTTGAATTTGTGATGCTGCTGAAACACATACAGAGAAATCTGTAATAGCTATTTCTTTTTTTTACTGAATACATAATATAAGATCTTTAAAATTAACACAAAATCCGAGAGAACTGGGGGGGAAAAAAGGGAAAAAATACTACAGACAAGGTGGGCAGAGTTTTGTTTGTAGGAAAGTAAGTAAGAGGTTTTTCCCAACTACTTTATTGCAGTGCCACCTCTAAAGATTCAAAAGGTCTTTAGACCCACCTTGCCTTTGTTGTCCATGGTCACGGCCAACTGAACCCGTTTCCCCATCCTGAATGTGAAGACGTGATCACTTTCTTCATCGTCTTCCTCGCTACCAACCCCAAAGCTTGAGGCAGAAGAGCAACTGCTTCCCCACTTCTCGTTCACAATCCTTTTCTCCTGCAAACGGAAGGGAGGTGGTTACAAAAATTAGGAGCAGTACTATTTTTCACTTTTTAATTTTTTTAGCAAAATATGAACTTATCCAATAAAAATCTTCCCCAACATTCTCTTTGCCAGCAATATAAACACTGTAGGGTTTTTTTTAAGATTGAAGAAGAGCCCCAAATCTGGAAAAAGAAATAACAAAATTGTTTCGTATTGAATATATATTATTTATTTATCAGCACAAACTATTTACCCTTTATTTATTTATCAGCACAAACACAACATACTATATATATAGTATATATAGTATATATATTGTATATATATTGTATATATATTGTATATATATTTAAAGTCACAACCCCTGGTATGCCCAAATATGGGAGGAAGTT